GAGCTGTTACAGATCTGCTCCAAGAGCTGCTATCGAAGCTGTTAGCTGTAGCCTACAGTATCCCATCATCCTCCTTTTAACCCTAAGTTCCTAACCTTATTCATTTTCCTTTCTCCTCACTCACGCAACAGGCCTCACTCACTCTCGAACAATCAAACTCTCACTCACCTTCGACCTTCCTCACCCCTTCTTTCTTCTGCAGTTTCTTCTCACTCATTCTTATGGTTTCACCTTTGACTTTCCCCTTCTCTTCTGGCTTCTGCTGCTACTGATTTGCTACTTAAGCTGTTGTCGAAGCCGCACCCACACTACTGCTGGAGTGGACTGCTACACATTGTTGGTCTATTGCTGTCGAATCCATCTGTCGAAGCCATCTGCCATTCAATTTGTTGGACTGTTGGACTCTGTCTCTACTGACTGCTTTACGTCAACAACTGCTATAAGCTACATATCCAACGGTAAGAAGTTTAATAATTTGTTTATGGTTGAATTAACATAGAGAAAGTTTGGATTTTTTAGAATTTACTAGATTCAATGACTGCTCATAGCTATTTATATTAGTGAATTGCCTAGTTAATTTTTTTACATATAGTCATATATTGATATACATATAACATAGAAAAGTTTAAAGTTTATTTTATAATGACTTATTTGGTATGAGAATTTATTTTATATTTCAATGTAAAGGCATAATTGTTTTTTTTTAATTTATTTTTAGGTGATAAATGTCTAACACATAAAAGCAGAGTGCTGAGGGATCATTTCAAGTTCCACAACCAATTCAAATTCCTAATGAATCAAGTGGTAATTTTATGGCAAGCCCAAGCCCTCTGACAACACCAACACCAACTTCATCTTTTGCTATGTCTACTATTGTAATAGAAGAAGAAGAAGGTGTTAATGAAAATGAGAAGGTTGGCCATAAACGAATATTGACTTCTAAGGCATGGGAGTCTTTTAAGAGGCAAAAGGTTAATAGCACATGGAAAGCAATATGCATCTATTGTAGCAAAATGCTTGGTTGTGAAACTAGGAATGGAACAAAACACTTGCACGATCACTTAAAGGCTTGCCCATTGAAATGTATTGTTGACATAAGGCAAACTTTTTTGAAGGCTTCAAGGAATAATGAAGGGAAACCATAACTCACTACTACTATTTTTAATAATGAGAATGCAAGAA